TATTTTATTTTATTTTAATTTTTTTTTTTTTCAGAATTTGTTGAAGACTGAAAACTAATTTGTCTTTGGTGGAAAGAAATATTCTGCTTTCAGGCATCTGTAATCTGAGCAGAGGGCTGGACTCATAAAGGGGATTGATGACAACCATAAAATCACCACTGAGAAAGGGCCCTTCTGATGCTCTTGAAGCCCTAATTGGGCTGCAAACACTGAGAAGGCAGACATGGTTCCTCAGAACAGCATGTTTAGAGGCAGTGACTGCCTTGGCCTGGCTCAGCTGGGCAAGTTTTCACTCTAACTCCACCTGGTTTTGTGTTTAGTGCTGGGCACGTTCATGATCAGCTACGCAGTATCCTCAAGGCAGAGGAATAAACGATGCCGGACAATCAGGAGCCAGTGGATGCTTCCTGATTCATGTAGAAAGGGGAAGGTGAGGCTGAGAAGAACAATGGACAAGACTTGGGCAGCTGGAAGAGCAATGTCAGCCAAGTGCAGAAAACTAATGGAGTGTGGTAGAAGCTCTGAGGAGGGACATGTTTATGGTGGCATCTCTCCAGCATGAATCTGACTACCATCCAGCTTTGCAGACTCATGTTCTGTCTTAAGTAGCAAACTTCCATCTTTGTGAACATATCCATGCTGGACAATTGTATTTAAACAGTAAATAGTTCCTCTACAGCCAAGGGTGGTGTTTGCCAAATCTCTCTATGTGTGTGTGTGTGTGTGTGCACGTTAGATAGGTTCTGTATTACATCCTCATGTGTCATCTGTGACCCTGAGATCAAGAGAAAACTTTAATCTTTAGACCATGAGCTGTGAAGCTAAGGAAAGCCCGAGAATGAAAGAGAGAAGAAAGGAAACAGCTAGATACCAAATAAACATCAACCGGATGAAATAAATTGTGTCAGGCACATTACTCACCCAGCTTGCCAAACAATTCCACTCCCAGGGCAGCATAGATAAAAAACAGGAGCATAAAAAGTAGGCCAAGGTTCCCTACCTACACAAGGAGAAAGCAGAACAAGGGTCAGGCAAGTTGAGATCACAAATTAAATTACTCTATCACATTTTAAACACAAGCAAAAGAGGGACTGGTGGCCAGAGGCTAATCATCATCTCCCCTGGCTTTCAATATCCTGGTCACCTTCCACAATTCTGCTTTAATAGACCCAGAGAAGTGTCCTGTGCCAGGTTAAAGAGCAGATGCTCCCACATCCAAAGGAGTCTCTGTGGCTGGTGCCTCTCCACCACCCTTCCACTCACCCAGGATCCTGCCTTCATCTGTAATTTGGCCAACTCGTAGCTGTAGCCTCAGCAGCACTTCAGGGCACTGGTAGTTTACATGACCTGGTGCTCTGGTTTGAATTTTAAGAGCCCTTCCCTTCTGTTTGCCAGTTTTGAGACTGAACATGAAGGCTGAGGGTTTCAAGATAGTGACTTTAACAAGACATGTCTCAAGCCACAAAAGGAATTCCCTGATTTTTCAAAGGTTTCGCTGGCCTGGAGGGCTTTCAGAAAAGGACCATATGCTCCAGTAAGATGGAAAGCTCTCCTAGCCTTGCCACTTTACAGATATTTCTCAACAACAACTACCTATTTCAGCTTTCACTGTCTCCAAATAAAAGCCTTATTCCATATATTCACACTGGAATGCGGGCACCTTGCAGTTCAAACACTGTGCTGCTATTAGGTATGAACATGCCCCACAAGGTGGCTGAAGGGGATGGTGATCCAAGTGCAGTGAGGCTAAAGGGAACACAAAGGTTCTTAATAACAACAGCATGACAGTTATTCGCACTGGAGTCAATCACTACGTGGGGTTGAAGCCTTTAAAACATCTCAAAGAGCAGATTTTCTGCAATTCAGGCAGAGAACATGAAGGGCAGAGTAACCTGACCAGCCAACCACCTGCATTGTACCTCCAACTACCTCTGGTCACATTTACCTTCCCTGCCACTTGTAAATGCCTCGTGTCTATCGGCGTGTAACCAAGAGAGTGATTGAGCTCTCCAATTAGACCTGGTGTCACAAGCATCATTTTATCTCTAAATAAAAATGAACTAGGTGGTGATTCAGGTAATCAGGATTCATGATCTCCAAAGTGTCTTCTAGTCAACTCTACAGTTGGAGAGAGCTTTCTTCTCTGAGGCAGCACAAGCCACAGTTGTTGCTGGGTATTTTGACCACGCTGCTTAATTTCATTAGAAAGGTTATCAGTATGATACCAGTTATCATAAAATTAACACAGCTATCACCTCCAAAGCAGGGTGGTGGGTTTTTTTTTGTATTAAAGAAATGAGAACAGTTGAATCACCCAGTGGAGACTGTAATTGCTACGAAACCTAAACTGGCTGCTACACCTAGAGCTTTGCAATTCCACTAACATTATTACCAAACTCTAGGGAATAATTGAGATGATACAGCGATGTGGATGGCTGGTCTGGATTATTTCATCTGCATGTACCATCTACAAGAATAGTGTTTCTTAACTGATGTCTGCTGGACCACTGGTGGTTTGTAAGACATTAGAAGGCAAAATGACTGCAAATTAGAAAACAGGCACACATGCAAATGCACACACATGCTGCTGGGGAGGTAAATGAGGAAATAATTAAAGAGAAGGAAAATAAAAGTGATAACCGAGTTTTCTAGGTTGAGTGTAAATGAAAGCCTGATGTTGTAGCATTGCAGAAGAGGGTCTTGGAATTTTTTCAAAGAAGCCTATAAGCTGAATATTTTACTGCTATTTTAATGCCTAATAAATCAGCCCGCAAACTTCTGGCATTGAGGAAATTCCAAAGAATTTAGACTAACATCAAAGATATTACCAGGTTATCAGTTAAAACTATTCTCTATCTCTCAACATGTAAAGCATGTTAGAAGCTGACACAAGCTCATAAACAATTTGCCTACTATTTAATGTGCATTCGTAAAAGATTTTGTATTTAAGATCGTGACTAATTACAAGACTGAACCAACATGTCTCATAACTGGTCCTTCAAAGACTAGATTACACTCATGGATTTGCTGTCTATGCTCAAGGCATCCCAGCCAGAGGCAGACTCTAAAAATGCTCACAGAAGCGTGGTTGCTGGTGTGGTGTTTGCTGGTGTCTAAGGCTGCATTTGCCCTTGGCTGAGAGCAGACACATGGGCAGTTCCAAAGCTCAGCTGATGCACAGGATCTCTTGGGAAGTGACCGAATGTCTGGCTAATGTGGAAACTTGGCTGCATGAAAGAGAGATGTGGGAGACAGCAGCAAGTCAGAGATCCTGGGATGGATGATGGCACAACCTTTACTGTTAAAACTCCATCCTAGCCTGTAACTAGACATCTAGAGCTGCTCTGGAGTGACAGCTAAGAATCAGGTTGCTCCTCATGTGCACAAAAGCAACCTGCTGCCCTGACCACCCTCTGCAGATGTAGCATCCACATGGATACGTGCAGGCAATTGGTGGCTCATGAGGTTGGAGCGGGCATGAGTTTCTCAGACATCTGATGCTCAAGAGAATGTGGCTGAACAAAATGTCTCAACTCTTGCTTAGGTGCTCCAGCAAAACTGCTGGGTCTATTTGTGTATCTTCTGACTGTTCTGCATCAGTACAAGTCAGTGACAGATTTAATATTTCGTCAGTGCTAGCCCGTGGCTTTCTGGTACATGTCCCTCAAGAAAGGAAAGGAAGGTCCTCTTCAGCCCACAGCCTTCACCAAGGCCTGAGCACAGAGAAGGACCCAAGGCATGTTTCAGAGATGGGCTGAGGTGGAGGCAGCGAGGTCAGCCAGGGGCTGCTGAGAAGCAGAGAAGGCAGACTGGATGTATGTCTGTGACCTTGAGTGAGTCATTCCTCTCCAGTAACTCAACGTACCCATTTGTAATACCCTCGTGGATAGGTAATTAATGTCTCTAAAGCACTCTGAGATCTACTGGGACATGACAAGAAAAAGATTGTGCATGAATCATGTTGCTGGGAGGAATGGGAGGGGGCAGGAGCACATCCAGGCACATTTCTCCAGCAGCCAAAGGCTAGGATGGCTGCGCTGGACTGTGCCTCAGGGACAGAGATCCAGCTCTGGTCAGCAAGCTCAGCTTTGGCAGCCGGTCACCCAGGCAGGCTCTGAGAAGTGGTTCTGCTCTAGCAGCACTGAACAGGTCAGCCCATGCTCTGTTTATCTATCAGACTCCCCCTGACTTGGGCTGGTGCCTTTGGCTGGGCAGAGAAAACTACAGATAACCCCTCTCTCTGGCAGCCAGGGGCTATCCATCATTTGCCGTGGCTCCAGTGTGGAGGGGAGGCTGTAGCCTGTAAGGAGTGAAGCAGAGATGAAGAACATCTTTGAGATGTTCTTGGTGCCCTAAAGTACCTCAGAGAACCCACAAGAGAAGATGGAGACACTGGTGAGTATCTGTGATTCCTCCTGGAGCTTCACTTTCTGGCATCCTAGCTGTCATAAACTGCTGACAAAAGTGTCTGTGTGCCTGGGACAGAGGGATGCTGTGGGGAGAGAGGCAGAGTCCTCCATCCCACCCAGAGGAGCAGGGAGGTCCTATGTGAAGAGCTACCACCCTTCACCACAGTGCATACCAGCTGGATCTGTGATCTACCATTGCAAAAGCCCTGGAATAATCCTGCTCAGCAGCAAGGAAAACAATCCTCCTCTCCACAAACCCAGCAAAACCCTTCTCCCCCTGCCCCTGCGTGGCCTGGAGAGGCTGTCTCTGCTTTAGCTCTTGTGGACATCGCTGCTGTTAGTTTTTTGCCTCCCTCTAAGTGAGACTACAGTAGCTAAGCACCACTGCATGATCCATCAATGTTCAACCTCTAACCTGTGCCACTATCTGCAGGCACTGGGATGCAAAGCAACCATGACAGGTTGTGTTAGCATGTACAACAGGACACTGGCCACCTGGACACTACCACTTCTCTGTCAGCTCTGTGATCCTATCCAAATCCCTCTAGATCCTGCTGGCCTCTACGCTCCCTGCTCTGGCAAAGGCATTGATGAAATACATGTCTTCTGCTGCCCTGCTCCTGCAATGGCTGGCTGAAGCACACTACAGCTCCTCTTGTGCCTCCTCCTGCTCTGACATCAATTATTTCTGCATCACTGACCCACACCTTGGCATTTCAGTTGTCCACGCAGGCAATGCACACAGCTCCCTGGGACGCCTGTCAAGAGCAATTTCTCATAAAACTAAGCTCCTGCCAATCCTTGCCAAGGACACAAGTCTTCCTCATCTTCCTTCCAGCACTCTCCAGCCAAAGCAATAAGCCTGGCAGCAGGAAAACACTGGCTAATTTCTGCACTAGACCCAAGAGAAAATGGTCACATTTGTCTGCTTGGAAAACAGAGGCCATCTGCCTGAATTCCAGGACTAGTGGAAAGGGCCAGGCACACCACCTTGGAGACTAAATATCATCTCATTGGTGCAACCACAAGGCCACGAGCTGAACTGAATGAGCTCCCCTTTCTGTGCACCCACCCAGCCCCACGGAGACCAGTGCTAACGGCCAGCAGGATGGTGGTTTCTTTACCTAATGACTTCTGCTTCACTACTCCAATCTCTCAGGTATCTCTGCACTTCTTTCCAGTGTGCAGCAGAGCACACACATACCCATCTTCCAGAATCTGTCTCATCTGCAGTGCTTGCTGGTAAGATATTTCTATTCTTGCTCTCTGAGCTTCACCATCACTGTGGGTTTTCAGCATCTGGCAAAAGGAGACTCTTGTTTCTGTCCCTTAACTGCTGTTACACAATGCCAGAAAAGCTCTTCAAGAGCTGAAGTTGAGATAAGCACAGGAGTTACAGCACCACAAAGAGTTAAACTCCTGGACAGAAGCAAACTACAGACTCTGTCCTTCAGGGCACTGATAGAACAAGGAGTTCTTCACTTTTTTCTTGGCACAGAGTCCATCTGAGGGGAGTTCCAAGCTTTGAAGACAAAGAGGAGGTACACTGTACACTTCTGTGTTTAATTAACGTGCTGTCCACAAACTAAGTAACAAAGAAGAAGGAAAAAGAAGCCAGATCTTTGATAGGAAAGTTCCACATTTTACTATCGCTGGCTCTGCAGAGCCAGGATGGTGATTGGACTGGATTCCACTTTGTCCTCTCCATCAGAAAGAGCACTGGCAGCTTCCCATTGACTGCAGGTTTTCTTGCTGGCAATCGATATTAGATGTGCTGTGCAGACTGAGCTGGGTGGTGGATTCGCTTACAATGGGTTCACAATGAGCATTTTAACCCAGCAAAGTGCAGGCCAAGCTAGAGAAAAGGTGAATTGTACTTTGGAAATCAGAAGATGTGAAAAGGACTCAAGAATTCCCATCAGCCAGGAGTCTTACAGAGCAGACGTCGCTTACAAAACCGAGGCAGCCACCAGATGTATAAGCAAGGGAATATTCAGCTAAAGCCTGAGTGGTATAATTCATTATATAGCCTTAATGGGGACAGAGCTCATCAAGAAGAGGAAAACACTTGAAACAGGTCTTGAAAACCTGCTTCATATTGAGAGATTAAAGGAGTTCATTGTTCTGCTGTTTGCCAGACTGCAAGAGATTATTTTATTTCTTATTGCTCAAAAAAGGGGAAGTTCTAAGAATAAAAGAGCAAAATTACATCCAATCAAAAACCAAACTTGGCTAATTCCAACTAAAACCAATTTTTTTTTAGCAGAAAGAGTAAATACTAGAAGAACGTATTTCGTCAATAGGGGATGGCTGGTTCCCTCACACTTTGCATCCTTCAAATAAGATCAGGTGGTTTTTAAAAGACTTGCTGAAGATGAGTGCAGAGCTGAGTGACTTGTGTTATGCCAGGAGCAGGTCTCTGCGATCAGAGGAGGGTTTTTGGTCTGTGAATGGCAGCAGTGAACTGGCTTAATTAGCAGTGGTGATGTCTAAGTGATTAATCCAGCTCTGGTCAGGCCAGCTCAGCTCTTTTTAGCTGCTCAGTTTAATGCAGTGGATCTATTTCAAGTTTACTGATTTTAGCACTTCATACTTTAAAGTCCATGACAGATTTTGCTTGTTCTCCAGAAGAGTATATGCCATGAAGGTCCACCTTCAGAGCTGAAGCTGGCAGTGCCTTTCTAGGTGACCATAATCCCCACTTCTAGTTCAACCTCTTGGACAACCAGGTGTGAAATTGGAAAACTTGGATTCCTGTTTGAAAAGGAGATACTGCCTCCAGACTGCACAGCAGTGGGTGAAAAAGCCAGCGCTGCACGAGCACAGACGGTTGATGGCACCAATGAGATGATTGATTCACACTGTCCCAAACATCTGCTGGGACAAAGAGGGCATGTGGGTGGGCAAAGAAGGTGCCATTTTGAGATCTTTCTCTGACCATTCTTTCTGTCTCTCTTGCCTCTCCTCATTTGTTCTCCTCTACTCCATCTCACTTTTTTTCAGAGAGATAGTGGAAGAGAAGCTCTCTGAACTGCTGGACCTGAGGTTACCAGACAAGGAGGATGCAGTAGGGTAGGAAGTCATCCTGCATTGAAAACATCAGCTCAAGGTCAATTTGAAGTTCCAGAAGAGGAGACTAAACCTGTACTATGACAGCTTCAATCTTGGATCAAAATGCCAACGTTACCCCAGGTCTGGGGACAGTTGCTTCTCGAAGTGTTACTCAAGCTGTATCTATTGCTGAATAAAAACAAAGAGGAAGCTGATGAAAATCACCCAAAAGAGAAAGGAGAAACTGCAATGACAATCCCTTGTCCTGGTAAGCCCATAAATGGACATTCTACATACACCAGACAAAGAATTTCCCCTAAAACCTTAATGAATAAACATCAAATTCATTTTTCTTGTCACTTAGCAGACATATTCAACGAGGATTTTCCAGCTGTGGTTTTAGGCTACTAAATTAATTGGGGTAGGAACTCTTCCCCTGCCTTTGAAATGAAAGCTGTAGCTTTATGAAGAGTGATTGTTGTCAGAGAGGTCTTCCCAAATTTCTCACTTTCTGAATTTCCCTGGTGGACAAAATGGTATTTTTATCTGCACAAGATGTGCTGGGAATATCCCTGGGGATTTCCCTTTAAAACTGACTTTAGTTTTAATGTAAACTGCAAATATACCCCAAGGAAACAAAAAGCCTGGCCTGCAGCCACCCTATTGTTTTGGGGGGAAAGAAAACAAGAAGACAGAGAAAAAAAAAAAATGCTCTGTAATCACAATGCTTTTGAAAGAAAAAAAATAGACACAAATCAAATGTTTTCTTGAAATGCCAAAACAGGGGTCAGGTTGGTAAATTCCATGCTTTAGTCTCAGCCAAAATCCTTCACTGAAAAGAAAATCTAATACCAAAGGGCAAATGTCTCAGATTAGAAACATCTTTATGGCAGCGATGAAAAGTAAATGGGTCTTTCCAAGAAAAAGAAATTCCCCTTGTTTTCCAGTTCATTTTGAACAGATCATGGGCTTCTTTGTACTTAGCAACATACTCACAGGGTATATTTGAGTAATTGCATGTACTAGTTCTACTGATCCTCATATGGCCACTCATATTCTGGGAGAGATGTCTACACGGTGTCTGCTTTTGGCCAAGCCACAGTGCCATCATCCTGCCTTTGAGATGTGAAACCTCTGCAGAGAGCTGAAGCTGATCAAGATGTCACTGCCCACCATGGTGTGCTGCCATCTCCCTGTGTCTATGGGGCAGGGGCTGGGAGAAGAGAGGCCTGACTCTCCCTTTTCATCCCAGGATACACACACAATAGAGTGTATGTCTCATAAAGCTCCTTCCAGTGACTCAGCTGTGGGATGTTTTGGAGGAGTTCAAAACTAAGGACTTGTCTGACCATGCTTGTGCATCCTAAAAGTGCTGCTTCTGAATTGCCAGCTCAGAGAAGGAGGCTGTGGAGTTCCTCTGCCTCATTCTTGATGGCCTGGTACCTCATATTGGTACTCACTTCTGGGTAAAGTGTGGCAGTAAATGTTTCCAGTACTGGCTGGTGGGATACAGGATCCTGGTGATATATGAAATTGAAATGTGTAGGCAGCTGAGCTGACTCTAAAGACTGAAGGATTAGGACTCTGACCATCAAGCCCACAAACTTGCAGAACACAGCTTAAGGTATTAGTTTTTTTAAAAAAGGAACTCTAAACTTCTTGCAATTCTTCTGATACTCTTTAGATTTTTTTTTTGGAAGAGTGCAATTCAACAAAAAATGTCTTTCCTTCCTTTTTCAAATAAATGGACCCATAAAAAAGTGGTCTGAGGAACTGAACACTTGAAGGATCCTATAAAATATCATTAAGCATAGCAGCATCATTGTTCCTCTTGCAGCTCATGAGAATATGGTGATTTGAGACCCTACTTCAAGCTTTTAAAACTCAGAAAGGTCTCTCCTATTTGCCTTTTAAAGTCTGCAGCTCCTCTGTCAATAGGTCCTCAACAACATGGTTGTGCCTGTCTCACAAAGAAAACTGCTGAGCTGGAAGCTGTCTACTTCCAATGCTTTCCCTAACAGCTTTCTCTCTCTGTGCTTGCATTTCCTGACAGTGAAATCTGTATTTTATGAGCTCTGCCTTCAAAAATTGGCTCTCCGTTAACCCTTTTCCCATCAATCTGGTTCTCCATCTAACACACACTATGTGAGCAGGATGTGCCATGCAAAACTCTACCACCAAGGCACTGGTGGCAGAAGAGAAAGTTGATATCCTCCCCAGGTGGCTTCTAGTGCCCACCAAACACGGTGGCACAGAGCTGTCCCCAGGCCCAAAAGGTGTAGTCCACCAAGGGGAACAAACGGGGCATGGATGAAGTCTGGAAGCTTACCTGGGGAAGTGCTTGTACCACTGTGTCCAGGAGAGCTCGCATCCCAGTGGCCATCTTAAGCAGCTTCAGCACTACAATGAGAATTAAATCCTGGTCAGCAGGGCTGGGAAATATTTCAAGCAAAACTCATGAAGGAAATCCAGCTTCAGATCTTGTAGGGATCTTTACATCTCTCTTGTATCTACTGATACAGATGAGAAGCTCACTGCATCCTGGCAGAGCCCACAGATCATTGGAACATCCCAACCACGTCCCACACCAATTAATGTTAAGAACATTTGTAAACATATCAAAAGCCAGAAGAACTCTAGCATGTCCTAGTAGGAAAATGGGAGTGTGATAGGGAAACACTTCTTGAGTGAAGAGCATTATCTTAAGCTCTGATCCTCTCCCTTCTCCACTGCTTCCCACTCTTGTCTGGTATCAGTATAAAAGGTTTATGATCCCAGGTTTGAATTAGAGACCAATCGAAGACTAGACTGGAAACACCCATGAAACCACACCCAGCTTGCTGCTGAATTGACATTTTGCCACCTCATCACCTAACTGTTCATAAGATGAACTGAAACAACAGGACTAGAAGAACAAATGGCCAAACCATTTCCTGACGTGTCTGGAGGGATGGCTGGAGACCTACGGAGCAGGTCATACCTCTTGCTATTCTCAGCACTCGCATGATGCGGATTATTGTAGGATTGATGGGCAGTGCAGCATTCATCTCAATCTCCTCCAGTGTGATTCCCACAATCGATAAGAGAACTATGGCCAAATCCAGCTGATTCCACCTAACAGGCGAAGAGAGGAAGGATAGAAAAAAAACCAACCCAACAAACCAACAACCATATGTGGACAGACACCCAAGAGGAGAAAATTATCTGTTAATAACAAGCACAAACAAATCCCAAATGCCTCTCCTCTCTCATATCTGGGCTCATGATATTCCACATGGTACAAAATCAGCTCACTGCAGCCGGCACAGACAGCCTCTGCGCCACAAGCTGTTGTAAGCTGTGACTGGGAAATGTCCCTGCCTACTTCCCGGTCCCTATCACCCCCCTTCTATCCACTTGGAGCCACTTTCAGGGACAAGATACTAGGCTAGAGGGACCTTTGATGTGATCCAATACAGCTGCTCCCATGCTATGTCACCTGTCTCTTGAATTACTCCACTTGAATATCTTCACTGATTTATAGCCTAACACTTGTAGAACTCATTCCACACCAGCACTAGGAGACAGTAAGATGTGAAGAAACTGAGTGTCCTTCCTACACAATTTCTCTCATCAGTAGTATTGCTCATAGCAGCTTTCAACCACTCAGGATAAATGAAGCAACCAAGCTGATCTTGTGGAAAAGTGTCCAGTCTTACCCTGTTCCCCAGCAAGTCACCAGACCACAACATGCTTCCATAAGCATTTACTTCTGGCTAAATGTGAGGCAGAACGGGATCTGTAGGTCTCTGCAGCTGGGATCTGAAGGCAGTGGGGCTGAACACAACTACTTCTGTCCTTGCCAAAAGCTTTACAAAGCCACCAGTCTACCAAAGGACTGGTTTGGACTGCAAAGGAGACTTGTTCTGAGGAACATTGTGACCTTAAGTTGCCAGAACTACTTTTTTGAGGACTGGATTGATGGCATCAGATTGTTTCTGATCTCTAAGCTGAGCTGGTCAGATCTGGTGGAGAAGCAGATAGAATGTATCTAGAATTTTGTGAGATTTCCTGAATTTCTTCTGTAAAGCAGTACCAGCAGTTCTTAGAATTTTTAGTTCCTACACTATAAAGTTTGCACCCATGGAGAGACAGCCCTTTGCTCTTCCTTGCACACAGCATGTAGTACAATCATAGTAATGCTACATTTACTCAGCATCTGGCTTTGAAACTGGGTCAATACAGCTCTATCCCAACTGCACAGGACTTTAAAAAACTCTCACCTGTCCTTAAAGAACCTTCGAAAACCAAATGCCACCAACTTCAGAACTGCCTCGAACACAAAAACGATGGTGAACACATAGTTGCAGTACTTGAGGGCTTCATCCAGGGACTGAAAAGAGAGACACCAGTTAGAGCAGCCCAAGCTAGCCTTCCCTTGAGCTCCTGGAGAGGGACTGGCAGGCACAAGGGTGGCACAAGCACAGAGATGTAAGAAGTAAAGTCATAACAGCTTGCAGAGCTCAGTTACAAAACCGCACTAAATCACACAGCAGAACTCAAATAAAGGATTAGACACTGATGCAAACAAAAACCTCATGAGCACTAACACCACTCATGCTAAAAATGTCAGGAGCTATCAATTCTCCAACTTCAGTGCACAAATAGTTCAGTCTGGGTCAGAATAAAAATTTTACCCTTTCCCCACGTAATAAAGTTTACTTCTTCTGAACTGCCTAGCCTTAGGTAGAATAAAACACTTGATGGATCATTTCTTTATTCCAGCATGGCAATCCTGAGGACAACAGCTTCGCTTCAAACACTCAGAAAAAAATAACTAATGGTGGAGATGGATTAAATCTTGCCTTTTTGAAAAATGTTATATCTCTAGAGTTGAGCAAAGTATGTCCATATTTGGTGCAATGTTCACGCTCTCTATAGAGCTGCTCTCGGAAGTCAGGAATCCACAGTGTTTATACTTGAAGATGATGAGTGTTTATAATGGATTTCATTGGAACTGTAGGCCAACAATAGCAAAAGAATCTTGCTGGGACCTTAAAATAGATAGTTGCAGAGTGAAACAGCTCTTTGGTTGGGTAGGGATTTGGGGAGAGGAGGGAGGGAAGGGGAATTTAGTTAAGTGTAGCATAGGTCTCTTGCAATAAGAAAATGACAGCAATGAATATCAAAATAGACACAATTAGAAATAAAATGCAGTGGAGGAGTCTCCAAAGCAACGTCTGCTTCGTTGACAGCAGAAGCCTCAGGCCACAGGAAAGTTCTCCTCGTCACATTTGTGTGATGATTGTGCTTTGCTGACCCCAGATATGTGGGATGACCATGCACGGATTTTTTTTTTGGGAACAACAGCTGAAAGTTCTTCAGATGTTGGCATTCCTCAATGCTCTACTATCCCTATTTTTATTCCAGTGCCTAAAATAAAATAGCAACTTAAAAGACTGTGGGACAATTTACTATTTCATCTGAAGCACACACTGCCTGAGCCTGAACTCTCTCATCATTTATGATGGTTTGCATTCACCATGGTTGTTTTACATGAATATAAAACAAGTATAAATAAGACCTAACCTGGATAAATAACATTTACATGCAAAACAAAAGCTGTTATGCAAAGGAATTATGGGGGCAGAACAGCACACAGTCAACTGGTGTAAACCACAGAGGTGTTACCCTGTGGCTTGGTGCCCCTCTGGTTTAGCTTCCAGGAGGCATTTGCAGGTTAACTGGCAGACCATGCAATACTAGAAAAGTAAACACTGAGCCTAGAGCTCTGTGAATTATAAAGTGATGGAAGATTAATATATGTGACAAATGGACAGGCTATATGATTTATGCCAAAGGTTTTCTTGGGAAAAAAGGATTTTATGATAGATAAAGAAAAGTTGTACTTAAGAGTTGGTTTATTTGAAATTCATTGAGGAAAAGAAATGTTGCTGTGCAGGCATTCACTTCACGTTTCTATCTGTTAATGGAATATTCTAAACCTCTGGACTGTTTTACAGTCTGAGGGTCAGTCACAGCTGGGATCAGGAGAGGAAATATTTGGACTGGTCTTTTCCTCGTAAAAGTTTAGTTCACTTTCCGTTTGCCTTATTCTCTGGGTTTTTTATGCAAGATCAGGGAAATCAAGTTTTTGGCTGGAGTAAGTGACTCCTGACTGGTAGAGCTGGCCTAGAGTTAGATGGATTGCAATGCTGAGGCTTTCAAACACCAGGGAAGCAGGGCTGGCTGCAGACCTTGCTGGTCAACGGTATCCCAAGGGAAGAGTGAATGGTCCTCAGGTCCTCTGCAACCCCAACACTGCTGTGTTTCACGGCCAACACATCGATGGATGGCTCTTACCTTTGGCTGGTTGTAGTGCTCCATTGACATAGTGATGACATTGACCCCAATGATGAACGTGATGAAGAGGTCAAGATAGTGGCTGGTACAGAGGGTGTGAATGTATTTCCGCGCTGGGGAATAGTCAGCGTAGTAAGGTCTGCGTTGGGCTTCTGCAGAAAAAGAGAAAGAAAGGCAATGCAATGAACACAGGCCCTGCTGCATGGTTGGCAGCCATCACCATGTCCAGATTTGACACGTGGGAGAACTGATTCAAGGAAGCCATGTGAAATGGCCAAATACTTCCACCTAGAACCTCCAAGAACCATAGTGGGGTTATCAGGCTGAGCCAAACCTCTGGTGCCTACAGGAGGACCTCCAGAATTTTAAGAATCAGGTCTGTTTTTCTCCCAGATTCTCTGTTCTTACTGCTCTTTCTCAGGCTAGAGGACAATCTTTTTACTTAATGGGACCCTTGTCACAAACCAGGAAGGGTGAGAAGCAGGATGGAAATGAGACCCAAAGCCAAGAGAAAAAGCTTCAAACCCAGGAAACATTCAACTCCAGTTTAGAGGGAAGGCTTAGGGCAGGTCTCATTGGTCTGGACTCCCATATGCATCTGCTGACGTCAGGCGTGTTCCACACCAGAGAAGAACATAACCTGAGCTCAGCTTCTGTGACAGAAGGGTTTTGGTGAATTTTAAAGGTCTAAAGAAATCATAGCGATGCCTGTGGCAAAGTAGGGCACATGCTTGAGAGTTAGTAGCACACAGGAGAACATCAACAGCAATGGAGCAGGGTGCTCAGCATTTGTCTCTACAATGGTTATCAGCACAAGCTCCTCTGGAAATATAAAACCAAGGGCATGGTTGCATCTAAAAAAACATTCAGGCTACGACCACATGAATTTTACATCTCTACCTCTGGTCATGACTCTTCCTTTCTTCTCTTTGAAATGGGGCAATTTCAGCACATGTCCAAGTTTCCGGGGCTGTTCCAAAGGAGAGTGTTTGGACACTGTCTTGTATCACAGCTGTATTTACTGTGTGTGTCTCTCTTAAATTAGTCTGTGATCACAAGACGGCTGTGGGCACTCAGATGGACTCAAATTCTTTTCAAACTTAAGAAATATAAATATTCAAAGAGTGCACTTAAGGCCAAAATCAGCATTACCGTAGATTTTGAAGGTGGCATAGACATGTTAGGTCATATGAAGTCAGAGCAGGTTTAGCTCTTAACAGAAAGAGGGGTTTTTTTTGCAAATGTTTCAGCAATTTGGCTTTAAATGCATGAGGAGCTGGGAAAAAGGAGTTGCTTCACCTTCAATATAAGGAGGGAAATAAGTTCAAAAGTACTCAGTGCCCTCCTGAAATACATCTTGCACTCCTCTCATCTTGCTAATATCTTTCAGATGGAGTGACTCTTGAAATCTGGTTTTTCTTTTTTTTTTTTCTTTTTTTTTCTCTTTTTTTTTTTTTTTTGGTAGTGCAACTGCTGCCAGATTAGAGTCCAAAACCCTAAAATAAATTGGATAAAGCGAAACTTAATCTGTTGCTCTCTTTCAACTCTTATTTTTTTCTGTAGTTAAAAGTGGAATAGAGGCATTTGAAAAACATTTCCTTCTGACCAGGGTCACCTAGACTTATTTTTTTTCTGCTAACAGGTGTGGTAAAACAAGATGAAAGCAAACACAATTGTTTTTGAATACATTTTTCTGTTGCTTTCATGTGCCTTAGTTCTACCACTCATTTTGGACTGCTAGAGCTGTCTTTGCTACTGAGCTTGGCTAATCTTCCAGTGCATCTAAAATATAATAATAAAAACACTGCTGTATAATATTTAAGTCTGTACCAAGTGCTTTCATGTGTATTCAGGATTACAACATACTTTTGGGTTTGTTTTTTTTTGAAATGTCTTCTTGGGAATGCAAAAAAATCATTGTTGTATCTCATACCTCCTTGTTGGGATGTATGAGAATACCCCAAATAGTCAAATGTTATATTAAGGGACTATTTATTAATGACTAATGGTTGATTAATGGATCTCAGCAGAATATCAGCAGTGATGGGCGGTGTGTGAACGCACTGGCTAGCATTGCATGAGGAAAACAGGTTGCAGGTGACTGCAACTGCTCTCTAACCTGCCCAAATGCAGCCATTAATTAATTACTCAGTAAAAGATCAGGTGTTTATCATGTTTCATAAACTACTTATGTAATTCTAAAGCATAATCACAAGAAGACATTTCCCACTGTAATGCTGCTGATCAGAAAACCTTGTAGGCTGCCTGTCAGCAGCAGAGCTCTCTCTGAACATGGGCTGGATACACAAATAATAAGAACGAACCACCCAGCCATAAAGATGGGTCTGTTTTATTGAGTGAAAGCATCTCAGAGGTGTGTGTCTGCACACTCTGCCAGTGCTCAGTGCTGGCTATGCCTGGGCAACTGGTTGCTCATTAAACTTGGGATAAACTTAACCTGGGATGAGGGAGCTCTAGGAAATGCCTTACTCATTTAGGATGCACTACATCCCTACAGCCAGCTTAACAGATGAAAAAGAAACTTCTCCTGAGGGGACACACACACAAGGACAGTCTGGGATCAAGTTGACAACGCTTTGAAACACATGCAACAACACTGGCATGCTCGGTGCAGTGACCCATGCAATGTCCATTAGAGGAGATACCGCTCATGCCAGGCTACGGTAGTGAGCAGGGGGTGCAGGAAGGACAGGCCAGCTTCTGCTCTCGGTGATGCTGGTGTTAGGCTGGGGCGATCCCGGGAAGGCAGAGGGGTTGCAGCAGGGTGGAAGCAGTGAGAAATCAGCCGCACAGCTTCACTGCAGCTCTCACCTCCTCCGAGCAGGAGGGAGACTGTGTTTCAGAGCTCCAAGGTTCCCAGCTCTGCTGGGTCACTCTTCATCCCTGATCCCTTGAGGAACAGTTTTACTTCAGTCAGGTGGCTCTGACCTCCTTTCAGACACACATTTTTAGCTTTCAATGTGAACATACTATGTTATTCTCCTCAGTTTGGGTGTAAGTGTTCACTGCACACACCTACTGCTACAGCCTGCTCAACCAGAGATGTGGGGTCTGCAGAACCTATATGAAAAGAACAGTGGACCACGGGGATGTGGGCACAGCAGACAGGGGAGATCTAATACATCATTAATTACAGCAGGCAAAATGCAACCTGTGCCTGGCTTCTCCAGGGAAATGGTTTCTGGGATGAGACTCCAATCAGCCAACTAATAGATTTGTATCTAACACAGACAAGTATCCCTGCAGCTGATAATTTGAATTAGTGGAAATGCAGGAGGGAAAGGAGAAACTATCAAACATATGCAAAAAGAAAACCACAGTTCTTTCTCACCCTCAATTCTAGATGTTGGCTAATGCTTGAACCTCACCTCTCTGCAGAGTATTTAAACTTCTTTGCTTGGGATTCTGCTGACATGAAAATTAATGAAGCACTGTCTCCTAGCTTAAAAGCATTTAGGTTGGCATTACAATTGCTAGCTACAGCTCCTCCGTTATTCTCCTCTGCATGAAACATTAGAAAGCCCTAATGGGTTTATATGCATGCTTGGCACAGAGTAGCTCTATACCTGCAGCTGCCTGGAAAAATAAGCAAGATGGTTTGATAATTCCCTAGTTGGAAATACTAAACACTCAGCTATGCAGTGCCCAAAATTTTAGTTACAGCTCAAATGTTTCTGCTGGATACAGAGATGGTTGTAGCATTGAGAGGATGGACTAATTTAAATCCCACTGGGTGCTGCCCATGATTGCTCACCCGTAGAGAGGAAGAAAAGCTTGCAGCCGCTGCTCTGAAAGGCATCTCTGCTGGGTCTTAAAACACAACTAGCCTCTTCCTTCTACAACACCCAGATGCTCAGCTCTGCGTTGGGAAATGCTGTGGCTGTGGCCATGCTGCTCTCGTACAGAATGGACATCAGGAAAAAGCATTTGCCTTTTCTCAGCTCTTAGTTTCTTGGGGGTCTTCCCATGGACCAGTGACTCAGGGACACTACTCAGGGCTAAGTTCCCCCCCTGGGCTGTGTCAGGCATTTCCAGCTTTTCCAGTGTCACCTGCACTGCTCTTGGCACGCAGTGTCACCCAGACCCTGCTTGCAGCCTTTGAAACCCAGGGTACTGCCTGTCCTGGACCTGACATCATGCTCTGCTCAGTGGGCCACCAGCTGTTGGCTTCACAGCAGATACAGGCGGGTTGGATTTGGCCCCCGTATCCTGAATGCAGAGGAGATCAAGCCGATTCATGTGGTTTTAATCAAAAACTTTAATCTAGGGAAGCTGATTTCAGTCTGTGTCTTCTGAGAACCTCATTAAAAGGTTAGAAGCTGCAGGATTATTAAATTACACTACACTAATTTACCGAGTAGATACAGAGGATGGAGGTAGTGACTGTGTCAGAAAAGTATTCTAGATTATCTCGAATTTTTACCTTCACATGCAAAAGTATCTTGTGCAGTTCTCCTTTTAAAATCACATCGATGCATTTCTATGGTGTATTCAAACCCCTGCCCTCTCTTCTCACGTGAGCAGAGTTAACTGGCAAACCCAGTGCCTTCTTCAGCGCTGGTCCTGGCCTCAGCTGAGTTTATTGCAGCCCAGTCTTGAAGGCTGGGCTCTGCTGACATGTTGGGTCCATGAGCTCTGGTGCCAGTGCCTCAAATGATGCTTGTTACAGGAGCAGAGAGTCAAGGCACTTTGACAAGGGCCACGAGGTCCTAATCCCTTCATGATAGTGGCCCTCAGATGGGAAAGAAGAAACTTTTTGGAAAGTTCTGGGGTGGTGTCTGACAGCAGAGATGTGGGCTGAGAGGGACCTTCCTGCCAGGCTCCTGAAAGGTGTGAGAAGTATCCCCAAAATGAACACACAATGATTTCCCATTCCACCAGGACGGGGTCTGATGAAGGAGCTGTGTCCTGCTGCAGGACTGTGTCCTCCACAGACCAATCCCTCTGCCAGGCTCGTAGCTCTGCACACAGGGTCAAAATCCTGGACCCAACCTGCAGAACCTGGGATTCATACCCAGAGCCAGCTTGGATGGGACCATCCAGGCACTGATGAGCTGAGGTTTAACCCATTTCCAGGCCTGAGCTCAAGCCTACTCTGGCTAAAGGGTGTGTTTCTGTGTGTGTAGATACCTAGAGATGCCCAAAGACCTCAATACACAGAAACACACACAAGGTTGCTACACACAGAGGACATTACAGACAGGAGACAGGACACAAAGACAAGATGCCAGGCAGACACCGTGAGTCCAGATGGATGGGTGTTGCTCAGACAGCACATCTGTTAGCTGTGCTGGGTTTTACTCTTGTTAACAGCACTAATTTTTCCTCTCTAGAACATCTTCAGGCCAAATGCTAGAAATGGCAAGTGAAGTAAAAGCAGGGCTCCCTGCTAGGCTTCCCAACGCAGGCTCCTTGCTTCTCCACTGGTCTCCTGTGCCCACCCTGCCCTGTGGGGACCAACCTCTCACTGTTCCTCCATATGGGTGAGACACACAGCACTGGGGCACATGAAAAGCTGGCCAGCCTGCTGTCACCGTGCAGCATCCCATGCTGGCATGTGCACACACACTCCCCCACAGAGATTCTGCCACGCACGGTACCAACATCTCACATCTTTCTGAGTCTGCCATGTTTTTTCACCAATTCCATCATCTTCTAAATTACCCTGGAGGTGAAAACTCCTCCCATTTGAATAAAAAAAAAAAAAATCTATTAAAATATAAATAGTAATCTTCCAAAACATGTATCAGATATTTGATTTCACCTTGTTAACAACTCAAATTTGGATGCCAAGCTGTCCATGCTGAACAGAGGCAGGTAGGAGACCTCAGAGAAAGATGATCCGAGGTAACCTCCTGGAAGCCCAGCACATGGCCAAACGTTTAGCCTCTCAGTTGCTATATTAGACTTGATCGCCTTCCAGAAAGCTGTCCTCCTCCCTGTGTGCTCTCAGTGAAATGTTACAACCCACATCTGTGCAATGCCTGGGTCTGTGGTCTGAAATATCTCCTTGACTCTGTCCTTCAAGATAACTGTATGAAAAGGGGCAATGTAACAGTGTCCATCACTTTGACAGGGACCGGCTCTTTTTGGTGAGCCACAGACAGGCTTGTGATAGGATTTACTTACTAATCAGGAACCGCTATCCCTCCTTACCTGTGCCCCCGTCTATCTTCTCTAAGGATGCTTCATGTTCTTTGCAAATAAGTTGTGTTCTTCTTTTAATTGCATATAAACTTTGAGTTTATCTGAATGTCTTCTTGGGTCAGCACATTGAGGTAGAAATACTGCACAAGCAGGAGAGCTCTTGACAGCCTGAAACCGATTTCTCTTACTGTGCTGGAAATGCTGCCTTCCACTTCTAATCCTAGCTGGAACCTCAAACCCCCAAACCAAAATGGGAAAATGGAAATGAAATTGCATTTCAACTCTTCTAAATCTCTGAAGAGATTCAATGTCTGTTTGCAGCTAGCTAGTTTGATCTGGATTTCATTTTAACTCAGCTACTTAACTCCCAACTAGCTAAAATGAAATGGGTTTGGCCTTCACTGTGGTATCAGGTCAATCTGTCATTAAGGCCCTGCAGAGACCACAGGGCAGATGTTTAGTGCTGTTTAGGCTCTAGTGGAGAGGACCACAAGAGCAGGAGAGGAGCTGTGAGGGATGCAGCTGCCTGCCTCCTGACTCACATGTGGATGGATGGAGGAAATGGGCTGGGGTTCCTACTAGCAAAGCTTCTGACTGCCACGTCCTTAGAGCCAGGTCTAAGACTATTCGATCTAACTGCAGTTTTCCCAGCTGAAAATGGATACCTCCAGTTTGATATCTGGGAGACAACTAGCCATTCATCACAGCGAGATATTAGGTCCTTCCAGGAAATGACACAAGGCAGCACAGCACTAGGCAAAGAGCCACAGGACTGCTGCAGCAAGCACGGCCAGAAGCACTCAAGTCTTATCCCTGACTAAGCTGATCTTTGATCACAGTGGCTGAGCCATGTTCCCTCACTTACTTCTAAACAATGCTTGCCAGCACCTAATGCAGGCCATCCCTCTTCACTTAAACTGGCTGGGAAGTCGGTGTGGCTGGTTTCCTGGCAGTTTCCCTGGGAATCCCCACCAGATGCTATAGGCAGCTTGTCCCTGGTGGAGCCTGCCAAGGAGCAGTGGAGGTGAGAATTAATACATGAGAACCCCTGGAAAGGTTTGGGTCAGGAAAGGAGCACAAGCTCAGGTGTTTTTCTAGTCTGGTTTGATGGTCCCTACTAGATCCACTAAGAAACAGATTTCAGCTAAAGCCTTTTTGTTGCACCCTAAGGACCCTGCATCTGGCCAGTATTTCCACATAGACTGTTTGCAAGGACAAATTTGAGTCCCAGCACATTGCCCAGCAGTGAAGGGCTCCCCAAGCCTGTGATGGGGCAAGCATCTCTTGTAATGGACATCTTCCAGAGAACAATTTTCTGGACAGCCCCATCTTGGGGCTCCATTCCTTTCCCCAGGGCTGTCGGTTTGTTCATTCCCTCATGCAGCATGTTTCTGGCATGCGGGGCCATGCGCTAGGACTCCAAAAAGCATCGCAATTATTTTGTCTAAGAAAAGAATTAATAAATCAAAACCACCACCATCATCAAGACGCAAGCAACACGTTAAGTCACAGGGTTACCCTGGGGACTGGCCTTCACGCACACGGTAAGCATTGCAGCTGTTTACTCACTGCATCCCTCAGCCACATCGCGAGCTCCCACTTGGTGCTTGGGACACTTTTGCCTTGCAGAGTGTGCTAGAGGACTCTGCTTGGAGGAGGATTTTCTCCCCAGTTAAGTAAACAGGTAATGCTTTACATCAGGCTTGTAGAGGACAATTCCAAGGTGTTGGCAACCCAAGACTTAAGGTACTGCCAAAGAGGTAATAAAGCAAAACAGCCTCTTGAATCCCATGGAAACAAAACCAAAGGAAAATGAAAGTCTTGCTTTGGGAGCAGGCAGGGCTCAGAAAGATTTTGGTTTGTAACGCAGTCTACCGACCAGACAGGTACATCTCCTTACTCCTGCGCTTTTTCTCCAAGCGTCTCAGCCGCTTCTCCTCCCGACGCCGAGCCTCCTCTGCCTCCTGGTGCTGTCGGCACTTATGAAAGTTCTCCACCACTACCCCCACAAACATGTTGAGCACGAAGAAGCTGACGATGAGCAGGAAGGAGATGAAGTAGAGAAGCATCCAAGGGTTATGGTTCTGGATAGGCTGGTGAGGTGGGAAATTAAAAAAAAAAAGAGAGAAGTGGCATAGACAAGATGTGCGTAAGTCAGGATTTGGGGCACTCTGTAGCAACAAGACAGTACAGTCCACTTTTGCAGGGAGAAGGAGAAGGCTGGGAGGAGTTAGGAGATTTTTCCCAAACCAGTTTCCTTTAATTCACTTTCTCACTGACTAGAATTTTGTTGTCAAACCCATCCTAGCCTCCGTAAGTTGGCTTACAGGATGTAATTAGTTTGGTATTTATTTCATACAGCTTAAGATAAATCTCAGTGGATGGCCACCATCCTACCTGTGAGATCATATTAGTTAAACACAGGCTCCAGCTATTTATTTATTTATTTATTTATTTATTTTTGAGATGAAGGCTCATGGTTAATGTTTCTCAGTTGTTACGTGATCTTCAGAAGCAGGGGACGATTAAGTACAAAGTCTTACTGTAGCTATGATGGGGTGCTATTCATCTAAGACTCTTGACTTTGCAAATACCACATAACACACAAGCTTAACAATGACTCTTTCATAACAACCCTGGTTGTTTCCCATCTCATGTGAGTTTGCTCTTGTTCATCATGCCTTCTGTGAAGCCACAGTGCAATGGCACATGTGGTCCTCCTCAAGTAGCATCATTCTAATTAAAAACCCCAACAGTGCTTGTTTGTGTGCTACATGGGACACAACCACTGTAAAAGGTACTCAGTGGAGAATGGAAAACCTTGGCACCCAATGGGCAGCCAGGACCTTAAGAAAGTCCTATAGCTCTGCTCCTTCCTGGGACTTCAGAAACATCAGTCACTCAGGCATGAGACTTGTTGAGAGCAACACATATGGACTCTGCAGGACATTTACCTGTTGGTCAATGCCCACAGCATCCAAACCATCGTACATGATGTTCACCCAGCCATCTTTGGAGGAGAGGACAAACAAGGACATGAGGGCCTATAAGAAAACAAACACATAGAAATGGTTGGTCCTGTATTTTAGTCCCCAGAAAAGAAACAAACAACAGACAATGCTCAGCAAAATCAATCCACAACTCTTAACATGTCATTTAGCCTGGTGTTGGTGGACAGATGCAACATATTTTGGCTTGCTTTTACCTATTTCCATATCTGGTTTAAAAGTGAGCAAACTATGGCTGTTAACATTCACATATAGGCTGACATTCACTCAGGTGCATCAGGCTTCTGGTCACCAAAACATGATTAAAAATCAGTAATAGTCAGGCTGGCTCAATGTCATGGGGTTTTAAAAAGCAACAATATATCCCAGCTCCTACTATGGGCTGTCTCACCTTTCAGCCAGTATAATGCACTATTTTTTTTTTTATTTGCAAACATAACAGCTAGAAGTAAAGAGACTAAAAGTGACGGTTGAGGTCCACACATGAGGGTCTACATGCAAAAGCAGTGGCTTTAAGACAACGCTTAACCTATAAACAAGGACTTGTATAACCCTAGGAAATCTGGCTGCAAAAGAACAAGAGGTGACCTGATCCATTTTCACTCAGGATTGCTTCTGACAGATGAATCATAGAATGGTTAGGATTGGAAAGGACCTTAAAGATCATCCAGTTCCAACCCCCCTGCCAGCAGCAGGGACACCTTCCACTAGACCAGGTTGCTCAAAGCCTCATCCAGCCTGGCCTTCAACACTTCCAGGGAGGAGCAGCCACAGCTTCTCTGGGCAACCTGTTCCAGTGTCTGACCACCCTCACAGTGAAGAACTTCTTCCTAATATCTCATCTAAACCTCCCCTCTTTCAGCTTAAACCCATTTCCCCTTGTTCTGTCATTAACTGCCCTTATGAAAAGTCCCTCCCCAGCTTTCCTGGAGCCCCTTCAGGTACTGGAAGGCCGCTATAAGATCTCCCTGGAGCCTTCTCTTCTCCAGGCTGAACAGCCCCAACTCTCTCAGCCTGTCTTCACAGCAGAGCTGCTCCAGCCCTTGGATCATCCTGGTGGCCTCCTCTGGACTTGTTCTAACTGGTCCATGTCTCTCTTATGTTGGGGGCTCCAGAACTGGACGCAGTATTCCAGGTGGGGCCTTACAAGAGTGGAGTAGAGGGGCAGAATCACCTCCCTCGACCTGCTGGCCACGCTTCTCTTGATGCAGCCCAGAATGAATGCCTACATTTTGTTCTTGGAAACTTCCTATGATGGAGGTTCCACACCCTCCTCAAGGAATACATTTTTCAGTGCTCATCTGTTAAAAATTGGTACAGAAAAATCTCTGCAGTGAAGACTTTACCTGCCCCAAATTGTCAAAATTGTACTTCCGCCGAACCCATTTGTAGCGTGCGTTAGTGCAGTCGGTCTTCGTAGTGATGTTTTTCACATCAGGACCATCGCAGTAGTAGAACTTGCCTTTAAAAAGCTGTATTCAAAAGGAACAAAAAAAAAAAAAGAGAAAAAAAACCAAAAAAGCAGCAGCTTTGAAAAGTCTGTGCCCTGATTTATCTTTCTCTCCCCTAGCAGAGTTGTTTGCCCAGTTTAAATTCCTTTCCTTTCCTTCCAGCTTTAATATACACGTCAGGAAAACACCTCTGGTGAAACTTCAGGCCCTGAGACATTGTTGTGCATTGCCTCAGACACAGAAGGAAGGTGATCCTGCAGGCCTGCCCTGTCTTGTTGGGAGGATGACAATCTCCTTCTGAGGAAGAGATATTATATTCATCCTAGTACAGAGAGTTGGGAGAGATCTTGGGAATCTGTCTTTTCCTTCCCCTACCCTCAGGGCAGGCTTAGCTCGTGCTGTGTTGTTCATCAGGGAGATCTGCATTTCTAATCCTGAGAACCTTCCAATGAGCAGATGCCAATCCCACCCCAGAGCATTTCTTCCAGGGTCTGGCTCTTCTTTCTTACCACCTAACTGAAATCTGCCTTTGGAAAACTTTAAGTTCATTACTTCCACCTTAACCCCAGGTGGTGAGAAAAAACAGCTTCTCTTTTGCAGCAGTCACTTACAGATGGCTGTGGTGAGGGAAATACTCTACCTGGACCCCTAAAATCCCAAAGATAATGAAGAAAGCACAGCAGATGAGAACAATATTCCCAATAGGCCTCAAGGAGGAGATCAAGGTTTCTACCACCAGCTTCAGACCTGGGGCTCTGCTGATGACTCTGGAAAAAATGGCAAAACAAGAAAGCTTTTCATTTTTATGCATGTTCTGTTACTATACGGTTGCTTTTCCTCCTCTGCTTAGGCTGCAGTACAGCAAACACAACCCTCCTCTACCTGCAGGCAGCATTCAGAGATGATTAGTGACTTATGTGGACAACTAGAACAATCACAGTCACATTAGATGGAATTAAAAAAAGTGTAAGACATCCTGTCAGCAGGGTGTTGGGCAATTGCTTACTAGTAACAGTGAGGAGGGAATACTCTCTAGGGGCAGAATATCACAGAGGTTCATACTATGGGGCTATTTGTACCTCAGTCCAGAGAGCTGATCCCCTCTGAGGTCTCTCTGATCCAAGCAGAGGGGCACACACCAGGCAGGATCCTGCTTCCTAACCCAACACGTGTGAACAGCATCACAGTGGTACTAGAGAGCATGTCTTGTCCTCTTTCTACAGGCTTTAGTGCTCTCCTGCCCTACTGGCCTGGGCCCCATGACAACTTTTAAAAGAAAGTAATTTCATTTTGTATCCTAATTAGTTCCTGAACTGAGTCTTAGCTAAGGGGAACTTGTGATCAACAGCTCCAAGGCCAAAGGGTCATCCCATTAAAGAGCAACTAGCTCGCTTGCTGCAAGGCTGTGAGAGGCCAGGCATGCTCTGAGCACAGCTTGAAGCAGCTTTTGGGTATGATGGAGAACAAGTGTTTTCCTGTCCTGTATGAGTGCCTGGAGAATGGCTCTCCCATGGGTGTGTGAAAAATGCCTTTGCACACACAAGTGTAACTAGCCCAAGCAAGCTTTCCTGGGAAGGTGGGTATTTCAACAGAAAAACATCAAAGGTTTTTTTTAGGAAGGGCCTGTAGAGGGGAGAGGGTATGAGTCCTTTCAGGCAGCATGAGCTTGCACAGCTAACAATGCTTTCATGCCTGCCAAACCCAGAGAGGAGAGTTGTACGAGTTGTGTGCTGCAGGGACAAAGCATTTCCATAGGGTCTTGTTTGGCAGTAAATAATGTGGCAGTCTGAACTGCACCTATGAAGTGTTAGGAATGGTCCCTGGAGTAATCCTAGAAGAGGCTGTGATAAGTGAAGGCGTCATGAGAGGTGATAAATTCCTCTCTATTAATAGGATCTGGCCTAGTTATTCTCCAAGACCAATTCTCTTCTTTCCCCTTCTCTTTACTTAGGAATTGCCTGTGCCCTGATTTCTGTTCCTAGTTATGTGTGTTCAGTCAGCTGTCCCAAGGTGTTACCAGGCCAAGGCTCATCCAGGTTGACCCAGAGTGGCCAGCACTGCAAGGGGACTCTGATGCCATCAGCAGAACAGAGCACAGGAGCAAGAGAAGAGACAGAAACACTGTTACTTGTCACTAAGGAAATACAGAGCAGCAAATAGCTGTTGTTCTGGCGGTCACGAACCTAAACTACATTGCCTTTTCTTATTGCTCTCATAAGCAAGCAGCTTTTCATCAGAAAGCCTGCAGGTCTCACGAGGTGCCTATCTTATTTTCCCTGAAATTTCGTGAAAAGAGACTTGTGTTTCTTGCCAAGCAGGATGGAAATAGAACAGGAGCCGTGAGCTGATAACAATCCCCCAAGCGTTAACACTCTTTGTTATTGCATAATCATAAACAAAATACAAATTCTCTTTTATTCCTTGTCTTAAATACTGAAAGCATCTCCCCTTCCTCTTCCTAGCTGAGAGCTAAATTACATTAGACATGCAGGCACAGGAGAGCAGGTATAGATGCTGGAGCTTATCAAATTATTGTCAGCACCTGTTCAATTGCAAATTCTTTCCCAGCCAATGCAACCTCTTTGCGTGGGAATGATTGTGAGGGTTGTGCAGTTTAACGAGGAGCCAGACTGATTTGTGAAACACTGATAAAAATGCAGCATGGAGGAGGCATTCACTGCACTAACTGCCTGAGTATGATAACACCTCTCACTCCAAACTCCATCCACTCTTTTCCAGGCTGGCAAAGATGAAGTGTATTATATTATATTATATTATATTAGAACTAATTTCAGTGTTTTCAAACAGTTTCACTAGATAGGAGCTCCCCAAAGATGATTCTATCCATACTGTGTTTCAGCTTTTTATGTTATTAAGCAAGACCTTGATGGATCATGTGCATTTTTTTTTCAAACTCCTTGATCTATCACCACAAAGCAAACTCAGCCTCTCTATCAGTGAACGTACCGGAGAGGTCGCAAGGTCCGCAGGAGTCTCAAAACACGAAGGACACCCAGGATCTTAGCTCCGCCTGCTGATGCCATGGAGACAATAATGTCAATGATAGATACAAAGACCAGGACTCCATCCAGGACATTCCAGCTGCTCTGCAGATACGTGTTCTCCCCAGAGAAAAAGCCAAGAGCTACCACCTACAGTCAGGAGAAGAGAGACATTTAAATCTTCACCCAGATCATCACTATGTCATGTTCTGGTCTTTGCCAGGCCTAACTATGGGCCATAGGATGAAGGTGTAATTACCTTAACCATCATTTCAGCCACAAAGATTGCTGTGAAGATGTAATTAGAAACACTTAGGAATATCCTTTCCTGGAAAACACAGAACAACAAAAAGAGGTAAGTTATTTAAAGATATTAGAAAACAAACAAGCATCTTTCATCTTGCAGGGTTTTGCCCCAACAAGACTAAGATCTGTGTGCTGGATCAAGGAAGAAAATGAGTCAGGTACTCACCGTGCTGTGTGGATCTATGTCTGGTCGCTCCAGTGCTATAGTGATGCAGTTGAGAAAGATGAAGACTAGCACCACGTGATCAAACATTTTGTGGGCAATGACTTTCTGGCACATCACCCGGAACCTGAAGAAATAGTGGGGAGAAAAATATCCTTCAGATGGTTGGATCAATAAGAGACTCCCACCCAGATGGCACATCCTGAAAAGTCTTCAGCAGCTGTGTCACCAGCATCAGCCCAGGTGGTGAGTTATTGTCTCCACAAGCTTCAGCCATTTTTATCAGTGCAGTAAACAAGATGTAATAACAGCTATTATTAATGCTGGTTAAACCACCCTTCTTCCAAAACAGACATGGAATGAACCATGCAACAATTCTGCCCACATGTTACAGAAAAATTTACCTAAAAATCAGGAATTAGATTTCTAAAACTCTCAGTGCTCCTGCATCAGAGAGAGATTTTTGTCAAGGGAAGGTTAGCTAGAAATAGTACTCCATCATCACAAAAACCTGTTAGGCTGGCATTTCACTGAGATTTCTTACCGATTCTGTGGGGAAAACAAGTAGAGGGACCAATCTTCATGAGTCTTGCACCACTGTGGTTTGTAGGGCTCCAGGACTTTACGAATTCGATAGCAGTAACTCTGGATAGAAAAGAAGAAACACCTTTTCTTCCTCTTTTATTTTCCTGCCTCTTCAACTTTCACAGTCCTTTTGTGAAAGGGGGCAGTACATGGCATTTCATAGTGCCTGTAGGGAGTCACAGCTTTTGGGACAGAGATGTGGCAGGCATTGGCACGTTTGTCCAACAAAACAGGGAGGAAAGAGGTGGAAGAAAGGAGCTGCTGTACCGCGAGATATGAACATCACAAAACAAGACTTTCTAGGCAGGTATCGTTCTGAGATCCAAAGTTGTGTCAAAACCAAAAAGGCCTCAAACAACCCAGAAGTTAAACAAAGAACAGTCTAGGCTTTCAAGCCTTCAAGATGCCAAACAGCTCTTGTGAGCAAAGACTTTAGCTAGCTGTTGTGCCTACAGCTCATTTTCGGAAGCATCCTGGGCCAGGGGGACAATCTCAACCAGTTCAAAAACTAGGCAGTTTTACCTCATTAGAGACCACTGCAAGGTAACAACCCAACCCATTAGCTACAAACCCCCCCCCCAAAAACCCCCAAAACCCAACCATTCTGGGAAGTGGATGCCCATCCCTTGGATCTGGATTCTTTTTGTCTCCCCCAGCCATTAGGCAGTAACACATTTCAAAGCCTGATTTTTAATCAGCCTTCTTGGAGTGGGAAAGCCACATAACACATGAGGGCCCAATTTCCCCCTCAACTCACATCCTCCATGTCATCCTCATAGTCTATGGCATCCTCCTTGTGGCCATCGACACGCAGGAAGAACTCGCTGGGGACGTGAACCATCTTGCCGTTGCAGTCTTGGTACTCGGCAGGCAGCACGGCCATGGGGCTGACACTGAGCGAATGGCGCATGGTGGGCAACTGGAGCAGCTCAGGCAGGTCCAGGGAGCTGCGGTAGTCCAGGGACTCTGCCCGGCGGTGCAACGAGTGCCTGCTGACCGTGCTGGACTTGGCATCATCAGAGTCATCATCTGTGCTGCCTTTGCCCTCCCCGGAGAGCAAGGACTCTCTTTCTCCTGACTGGTTCTTCTTCTTGAGGCTCGGGGCTCTGCCCAGGCTATTCCAACTTGAGCGTCGGCTTCCCCAGTTGCTGCTGGTGCCCCAGTTGGCACAAGGGGAACTGCGGAGGCTGGACTGAGAGAGGAGAAAAACATTTGAGGGTTTGTTTGCAGGAGGAAGCCAAAGGATATGGCATTTTGCCCAGACTGGAAGACCCTTCTTGTATTAAGAAGGACATGCCAATGCCTTGAGATGGGAGCCAAGCACCCAGCTAAGCCCACATTGAAGGTACTCCTGGAACGACACCTGCAGCACAGCTACCAATCCCCTCTGCTGCATGACTTCCTACTGTCCTGGCAACATTAACTGTGCATAAAAACTGAACCCAAGGACAGTATTGCTGAAATGGCATTTTCTTTCCTCATGTTCAAGTGGTTTCAGCACACAACTTCCCTGGCTTCCAAAGGGGCTCTGCCACCTGAGTCACCCAAGTGTCTGTTGGAAACTGTGCCCCCATTTGCTTTACTTTCTCTTCAGTTTTGCTGCATGAGGAGATGGAATGAATGTTTCTCTTCCAGCAAATTTCTGTCACTGATTGGTGTGGTAGTGCACTTTGGCTGGCAGGTAGTTGCCAGGATGAGAGCACTTAGGGTCACAGCAGAGAAGCTAGGAAGGAAAACTCCTTTTCTCTCCATGGCTTCCTCCCAGCACAAAATGAGGCAAACTGCCTTCCTCCTCCTTCCCAGTGTTGGCCAGCTTGTCTTCTGACTGCTTCATCTTCCTTGGCTGGTGGCACTGATGTGCTCTCAGAGAAAGTATTCGATGAACAACCCACTCCAGCAACTCACAATGCCATGAAACCCCAAGGCAAACAACACTCATCTCTATTTTCTTTTCAAAAGCATTACCTTGACTAAGCAGCTTACAAAAGGGGATAGTGGCTCTGTCTCTGCGTGAAGTGCCTTCACGGTTCGCTGCCTTGATTTGAGCATGATATTGCAGTTACAGAGCAGAGGAATGGGATAGATAAGCAGCAGCAGAAATCCACTTTGTCTATTAACTCTGCTCCCTCTGTTTTTATTGAGCTGCCCTCCCACCTCCCTATTGCAGCCAAAATGCAACCAGTTGCCAAAGCAGTCAGCTCCAGCCAGATCTCTGCTCCATGAGCTGTGCCTGGTGGCAGTTGCTCAGCTCATACCTTGTTTCCTCTGTTTCCCCTCCAATGGGGCTGCTGTACTGTAACTGGAGCTCAGCTGCTGTGTTGGTAAGGACAAATGCTTCATTTCCCTGGACACAAGGTGGATTCAAGATGAAACCCTAAAACTCTGTGGGGGAAAACAGGCCTCATCCTTACAGGAACACTTGAGAGTTTCTCCAAGACACCACAGTATGGCCAGTGTGCTTGGTGGAAGGTGCCTGCTTCTCCTCAGAGGGGTTTACTGGAATAACTGCATGAACTTACAACTTCTCTCAGATTGCATCTCCCCAGTGAGCTGGCTTGGCATGGACTTCCAGTTAGATACTAGGCAGGAAAACGCTGAATCCCAGTACGTACCTGTCTGCCCTCTTCATATACTCACTGTCCTTGACTGTTATGTTGTCACTGTCCTGCTCCAGCACACTATGCCAATTTATTTCTCCCTCTTGACTCTGTTCTCCTACCTTTCCACATACTTCTCACCTCTATCACCCTCCTTTTTATTTTCCAGCAACATGTGTGCATGCACACACACATATATCACTGGCACCACTTGCAGGCACTTGAAGGAGAGTTGTTAGGAACCTACCAAGGATTTCTGATCGTAGCTCAAGGGGTCTAGTGAAGCGTTACTCCCTCTCCTTGAGTCCACAAAAGTGTGCACTGAATCCATGTGTGGGGAACACTTTGGTGTGGGCATTGGTGTGGCAGCAGTGCGCATGATTATAGGAGGTGGCATGCTTCCTCTGCCCTCCAGGTGTCCATTTGGGGTGACGGCAAGTGAGTACATCTTCATCTCTGGAGAGGAGAGAGAATACGAGGTAAATGCTCAGTGACAACTACAGAAATTACTCTCCAAAATGGACATTGCTTCTTGGGTCTTCTAGGAACTCCGTCAAATGGAGATGAAATGTTGTGGGCAGTAAGATCACTCCCACCACGTTGAAAGGCATAAAGCAAATGTCACTACTTTTTAAGAGGCCTTTGGCTCAGACAGGACTTGGAACTCATTTTCCTCCAAAGGAAGTTTCTCTTGCTCACTGTTTCTCAGGATTTAGAGAGTGGAGCTACAGTTTTGGGGGACTGGGATTTTTTTTGGAAAGAGTTTCCAGGGAAAGGACATTGAGAACTGGCTAAATTCACCCTTAGTTAATCTCTTCTCCTTGGTTTACAGTCTTGCACAGAGATTTTTATGCAGTTCTGATGTGCTCTAAGTTCCTCCACGGGGAAGGCACTAAGCAGACATTAGTCATTGTCTTTAGTCATCTGTTTAGCGGACAGGAAATGGAAGTTGCTTTTACACATCCACCCATCTAGAAGAATAAACCTCCTGTAAGAGGGAAATCTAATGGCACATCTCTGCGGTAATTGCTGAAAGCATCTCTTTTGGCAATGGCAAGTACAGACTGCAAAAACCATATTCACACTGAGAACAAACCAGACAGAACACCTCCAGCCCTTTGGAGTGCCATGATAAAACTAAAAGCCTAATTTCAAAGGCAAAACTAAAAGTGAACTAGCTCCTGTTTTACTGGGTTTAGTGGTTTAATAACTGCAGAATCAGTCCTAAGGAGGGGGAAGGATGGGAGCACCTGTGACCAGCAGAAAAGAAGTACAAGTCTGCTGGGAGAAATCCAGGAGAGTGCAGTACCCCTGCTAATTTTCCCCCCCCCTCCACTAGCTGCTTTTGTGATGCTGTGTGTTTCTGTTGTATTGTCTCTTGAGTTGCTGGCTTATGCACAAAAGACCTGATCTGCACCACTGAAGTCCATGGGAACTGGACTTCACTTTGAGGGGTGAAAGATCCAACTCAACATTTGCTAATCTGCAAGACACGTTCCTCTTGCCAGTGGATCTGTCTACAGACCAACAGCATTTTAATAGAATTGTTAATGTCCTCATGCTGTTGAGTCCCAGGTTGGCACCTATGAGGCTCATGGAGACACACAATTACTCAGGGACTTTGATGGCAAGTTCAACCCTGTTTTCTATTCCTGTATGACCTGAGAAAAGGTGACAATACTTCTCTCCCCTAGAACTCTCTTATTTAAATCTGCTCAGCAAATAGTTGGTACAAAGGGAATTTAAGCTGTGGATTCCTTGCCAAGTATTTGCTCTGGACATTCATTTGATCACTTGGTGTTTGGAATTTGTTGCTTCATCTGCAGACTGAGCAGCTCCATCACCTTGCTGTGATCCAGCTCTGTCTCAGCTTCCCCAACAAATTACTTCTGTTCCTTCCTCAGCTGAATTCCATCTGCTCACCACAATCAATATCATTTCCTTAGCTGAAGCGAATCCTGGTTTAGGAGCATTTAAAGTAATCCTAACAAGAACCCAAGCTCAGAATCAAAGTACAGAGGAACTAAACTGGCTCCTGTTCACCATCACTCTGTTAAAATATGGGAGCCCTTCCTGTCCCCTATCTAGTTGCAAACTCTACGCAGTGAAGGCAGTCACCTACTATTCCATGTTTATACTACACTAGTACAATGTGACCTTACCTCAAATCAATTGCCAGGCCCTCCTGTAACAAATGAACAGCAACATTTCCATCAATCAAACCTCACCTAAATGCATTGGTGTGAGAAACCAAAAAGAACAGATGAGAACATGATTGATTTGAAAAGCTGCTGAGAAGCGGTGTGACAAGATTGCTGTCAGCAAACCATTCTGTGGTAATGATACAGAAGGAACAATGAGACATCTCTAAATATTCTAGTACAGTTTAAATTAGAAAAACATCTGTTTAAAGGAAATATCAATTGCTCATTTAGCTTTCCCAACATTTTTTGCATAGCTGCTCTGCTAACATAGCTATCAGAGTAATTGCCAGATCAATTCTTTCACTTTCCCCTTGAAGTTTCTATGAAAAGATGACTGTGGAAGCAGAATTGTCACTCTCAGAATCCCAGGAAAACGTAGAGACAAGATCGTACCTGTTGCTCGAAGGTCTTTTAGCTTCTCAAAATCATCATCAAAGTTGGCAGATGTCTTGTCCTCATCTGTGTCTGACCTATTGGCATCACCCTGCAGAGAGGAAAAGGATAATTAACAGACCTGATTCATTTAAACTTTATCACAAAGGCCATTTGGATTACTTAGCAGCTCAGAGATACCTCAGCTCTCCATGGTTAGTTTAAGTGTGGCTCCAAGAACCAGGAAGGCAAAATGCCAAATTCCCTCTGTTATTGCCCTGGGGAATGACCCCCTGTAAGTCTTTCTTCCTTGTTTTGATTCATTTTTGTACTTGGACAGAAAGGGTGATGTGGTGATTGTCACTACTGTTCCTGCAATGTCGTTGTGTTTCCTACACTGAGCCCAGCCTCACTGAACAGTGTCCCAGGGGAGAACACGAAAGTGTGTCTGTAATCAGAGGAGTGACTAAGAGAAATTGGCATTGTGGGGTTCTGTATTTGCACTCTCCATGATCCCAGTTGAAAGCACTTAGGTTTTAATGTCAAAGGATGTCAAAGGGTTTTTCTTCTTTATTTGACAGCACTGGAAATTTGACTTAGATCTGAAAACCCAGCCCTGATTTGCTTCCTTCACGCTGGCTGGTAATGGAGATTGCATTGGGAAATCTCTTGGCAACATTGAAGCTGAGGCAGAAGGGAATGAAGCCAGCTTGCCTGGCAGCACAGCATCATCTCAGGACAGAGAACAGCCAACCACCCTCAGAGTGGCTTTCCTCCTGGAAGTCCAGTTATTTTTCCCTTTCATACATAGCTGCCTCTTCTACCAAAAATGATCAGCCTAAATAATGCACAAGCCTGTGACAGAAGAACTATTGTCAGGTTGTCTTCTGCTGGAGCAGTCTGAAGAGAGGAGAGATTCCAGCAGGCTGTCGGCATGACTCTGGCTTGATCCATCAAGACTACAGAAAAGCTGTGCAAATTGATAGCAAATGGTTGGATTAAAGCAGATGATCCCAGAAAAAAAAGAGCACAGTTCCTTAACTGATGCCTGAACAAATCACCATGGTTTCTGGAGACATAGTGCTGAAGTGGCAGTGAACTTAATTTCATCTGTGATGTATTACTAACTGATGCAGCCAAACAAACAGGATGACTGAAAGGTTTAAGCTCCCTTATTCATCTTCTCCGTTTTGGAGCAGAAGCACTAGTGCACAGTAGATGAAAGATCTGAATAATTTTGGAAGGTTTGTCTGCTTTTCCAGAGCAGCTCTGGGGTAGATTTCAAAATGACATGGGAACAATGTAAGCACAAATATGCAATTACGGTCCTGTTTGATGTCTGGCTGCTCATTGCCTTAAGCACAAATGTACTAAAAATGGTTTTGTGGCCATTTAAGCCTATTCTCTTCTAGAGATACTCCTGCCAAACTTGGTCCACAGGCAGATCAGAACCTGAGATCAAGCTGAGACTGTGTACTGCAATTCACAGTACAATTTTTAGTGTCTTTGCTGAGATGCTGCTGATCTTTCAGAGCTTAGAGCAGCTCAAATGTGCACCTCCTTAGATGTACGAGTCTCCCAGGAGTCACTCTCCATCTAAGTAAAAGAAACACCTGAGCAAAAGGAAGGAGAAGTGCACCTCAGTGTCTGCTGTAACTGCTAAGAGCATCACCTTGGAAGAGGGCGAAGTCAAAGAGCTCAAAACAAGAATTTCTACCATATTCCCAATTTACCAACAGAACCAGGGATGACAAAAGAAAAGAAAATCCAGCTCCACTGATACTTCTTCCAGAGAGTTGCCCAAGGAGACTGTAAAGTTCTTTGTTTTACAACCAGAGCTAAGTTAGGCATTTCTAAGTGCAAGACTTGAATCAAGCCCTTTTGAAGCTGAAATATAGCCCTGAGAAGGGTTTTCTGTAGCACAGTTCATACCTCACTATGAGACAACTGACAAGCCCATAGGTTTAATGTCAGGATTTAGAATAAATGGAAGCGGAGAGCAAAATGTGCCCTGCAAATGTCATGCCTGTGGTTGCTGCCCTTTTCTGAGGCAGCACTGAGTGAATAACACAAGCTTTGAAAACTATTCCTTCCACACATTTAAATCATGGTCCGTAACAGCTCCAAAAGGAGCCATTAAGCCTGAGAAAGAAAATGACAGCTATTTGGCTAGGTCTGTCATCATACACTCAGAGAGTATTGCATGAGGCTGCCCATTTCTGGCTTCACATTAGCAAGTGATTCAAACTCCCAGAGAGCAGGTAAGGAAGGGGATCTGTACCGTACAAAGGTACCTGCAAGCTGCCAGGATGCTGAGAGGAGAAAACTTTCTTCTGCCTTCGAGCCATCAGTAACAAAGGATGCAAACTACTGTACCAGGGCTCTCTGTGCCTAAATTCAAGATTGCTTGAGCAGGAGCAGTTTCAGTTATTTGGGTCACACATGCTGGTTATCATCTGTTTGGATTTCCCTGGTATGTCCTCTTTTTCCACCCAGATTTGCTGGTTGGTAGAATCTGAGGATATCTGACACATCTGGCCACTGAACAGTCCCATCTCTGAACTACCATATGGCCAACTGTATTGGTTGCTTCTGCATTCAGTTCAGGAGAATCTATTACCTTAGCACAGACTTTACTCTGCTACAGACTGGGTTGTTTTCTAGAAGAACTGAGGTCCAACCACTCTGAACACAGCTACAACTCTCCTAGAAGAAAACCCCTTTTGGGTTGGAAGAAAGCAGCTACCACAGAACTTGTAGAAACACTGGTCATTCCTTTGCTTTGGTCTTACTAGGTTAGTAGCTAAAAAGTCCACCTTCATCTGCAAAGGTTGAAATATAGCAAAGGTGTTACATCCAGAGCAGAACCAGGAGATGCTGAGATCTGCTACATGAATTTGGAAATAAACCAGTGTCAGCATGAGCTCTAGTCACTGAGACATGGAGTACAGGCTTGTTCTTGGAAAAGGACCTTCTTGCTCTTCTTGGTCAGCTGTGCTGGATCTTCAGGGCATGGGCTCCACTGTACAAGACATCAAGATGCCCACTAACGCAGTGCAGAGCTGTTCATTCTGAAAGTGATGAGCTGGACTACTTGTGTCTTCTCTGTGTGTGCAGTTGGCACTCGCCACCCTCAGCATCCATGAAACAGCCTTGGGCAGTGAGCAGGGTTGTTTTTTACCAAACTGGGACTTGGCTCCTGTTGTTTCAATTAATTTTGCTCTGTTAGTGCTGTGAGGAAGCTAGGAGGGATGTTTTAATAATGAATCTATGCAGACATCCTGTGAAAGACATAAATGTGACTGTGCTGGCTTGAGAGAAGGGAAATTTTGGTCCATGAATATTTCAGTTATATTCCATGGTCAGCGAAGGTTCATCTAAGTGTGATCTAAACATGGCAAATGGGAGCAATTCTAGGGAAAAAATGAAATG